TATCTATCTATCTATCTATCTATCTATCTATCTATCTATCTATCTATCTATCTGAATCCAACCTGCAGATTCTGTTTCTGAGGATTCTTTCACAGCATCTTCATCAGCTGTTTTTTCTTCTTCTGTGGTATTTAAAGCACGTTCAGCTTCCTCCTCCTCATCTTCCTCACTGGAAGAGAAGAAAAATAAACGATGATGGAGGCTAAACAATAACCTCAGTTCTCAGCAGGACGAGTACTTTCAGATGTGAATACTCCCTCTGAACCCAGAGCATCATTTATACTAACATTACATTACTAAAATCATGTAAACATCCAGGTAAACTTTACTACATCCAGGTAAACATTACTACATCCAGGTAAACTTTACTACATCCAGGTAAACATTACTACATCCAGGTAAACATTACTACATCCAGGTAAACTTTACTACATCCAGGTAAACATTACTACATCCAGGTAAACTTTACTACATCCAGGTAAACATTACTACATCCAGGTAAACATTACTACATCCAGGTAAACATTACTACATCCAGGTAAACAGTACTACATCCTGTTAAACATTACTACATCCAGGTAAACAGTACTACAACCTGTTAAACATTACTACATCCAAGTAAACATTACTACATCCAGGTAAACATTACTACATCCAGGTAAACATTACTACATCCTGTTAAACATTACTACATCCAGGTAAACATTACTACATCCTGTTAAACATTACTACAACCAAGTAAACATTACTACATCCAGGTAAACATTACTACATCCTGTTAAACATTACTACATCCAGGTAAACATTACTACATCCTGTTAAACATTACTACATCCAGATAAACATTACTACATCCAGGTAAACATTACTACATCCAGGTAAACATTACTACATCCAGGTAAACATTACTACATCCAGGTAAACATTACTACATTCAGGTAAACTTTACTACATCCAGTTAAACATTACTACATCCAGGTAAACTTTACTACATCCAGGTAAACATTACTACATCCAGGTAAACATTACTACATCCAGGTAAACATTACTACATCCAGGTAAACATTACTACATTCAGGTAAACATTACTACATCCAGGTAAAAATTACTACAAACAG